AAATTTTCAGTCCAATTTTTTTTTTTTTTTTTTGCTTTAACCCCTGAGATTAATGTGAGGTATGTAAAATATTTACATTTATGCACGAACTGGGTTAAGCAAATGTAAAAATGTAAAGTATATGAAAGCAGCATGTTGCTGTTTTTTCCCTAGTCCATTTGGAATCTATGAATTTTCTATTGACAAGTTTTCAGCCTCCGGGGAGAGCATTAAGCAGTTGTGAAAACTCAAAAAATAAAAACATCACAGCATTCACCTCAACAGATGCTGCATAAAATCTCTAAATATATATACACCCACATCACAGTCATCACAGTTTATTTGTTTAACCATATCTAAACCTGAAATCCGTTGTGATTCTAATCCAACAGTAAGGTTAAAGTTGGTTTCACAAGAGTTTGATTTATAAATTCAAACATTCAACATCAGACTTCAGCTTGGAGGGAGATTACTTATTGGGTGGTCTTTTCCCTTTACATGAAATTGAACAGGAAACAACCCTGTTTTCAGCAGAGACCACCGAATGTTTCAGGTAAGCAAGGACCTTTCACCAGTCTAGGGTTATCAATGCACAGTATTTTAAATTAAAGCAGCATTTTCTCAAAGTCCTCATTGCTAAACTGAATATTCAATTACATGCTATTAACTTCCTCATTGATGTTTTCAAGGCACATTTCCTCAAAATCTGGATATCACATGTTGCAAGTAATGAGGTTTGCTGTTGAGGAGATTAATAACTCTACCACTCTTCTCCCCAATGTTTCTCTGGGCTATGAAATTTTTGACCATTGTTCTAATACAAAAAATTTCAATTCAGCCTTAAGTTTCATCTCAAAGAATGGCTCAATAAGACCTAAAGAAAAACTCAACAACTATCAGCCTAAAGTGATTGCTTTAACAGGGCCATATGGAAGCACAAGAACTATGACTGTTGCACCACTGTTCACAATGGACCTTATACCAATGGTAAATTGTATTTTTTATACAGTATACATAATAAAATACTTGTACACTTTCTTCCTACCTTTTGTTTAGGACTTCCAAGCTACTACATATATATAAATGTCTTCTCTTTCAAAGGTGAATTATGGCGCTTCTACGTCTGTTTTAAGCAATAAACTTCAGTATCCTTCCTTTGTAAGAACAATGCCTAGCAACAAAGACCTGATAGAGATGATTATTCACCTCATACGGTGGTTTGGATGGAACTGGGTCGCCTTTATTGGTAGCCAAGATGATTATAGTTCAGATGGTCTAAAGCTGTTTAACAAGTATATAAACAATACTGGCATTTGTTTGGCCTATCAAGAGGGTCTTAGTCCAAATGCAAACTACAGTCTAACACTTAAAAAGATTGATAAGCTAAACATCAATGTCATTGTAGTTTTTGCTTTGCCACAATACGCAAGCAAATTCATCAAAGCAGCCATAGCTAACAACATCCAAGACAAAGTATGGATTGCAAGTAATGCAAGGGCTATGAATCAACAGCTTCCAAGAGAGCCAGGAATTGCGAAAATTGGCACAATCATTGGCATTGCAGAGAAACTGTTGTCATTGCCCGGTGTCTTCGGAGCCATCTTTATCGTTTGGTTTCTGCATAGACCTGTGTTTGCCTCTCTCGTTATTTACCTACTATTTGTGCAAATCGGTGGGCTGGGCTGAACAGGGTGATGTGTGATGTAGAAGCAGGCGTTGATTTTCTTCTGCGGAGGCAGTGTTTAGCTACTCTATTACATCATAAAGAGGCACATTCCGCAACCTGTCGTTTTGGCAGATTGGCTTCAATATAAGCTGTTTTTAGACTAACAAGAAAGTT